TGGTTTACAACATCAGCTCTTTGCTTTTTGTCTCTGATAACAATCACACCTCGTTTCTTAGAGTGATCTCTAGCCTTGCTTGGCTTTCCTTGGCCATGCCCCTTAGGGGGTCTGGTTTCAGAGCGGTAAGATTTGGCACGATCTCTTTGTTCTGGTAAAGTCTTTGATCTACAATGTCTTGCCATATGCCCAAATTTCCCATAGTTGTGGCATTTTAAATTTCTGTTGGCATTAACCCTTTTATAATCAGGCTTTATGCTAAGTACAGGCAAATCATTTGCACTCTGAGACATTTCACGTCTATGTCCTTCATCCTTTAGATATGGTAACACATATTCCAGTTTTAAGTCTTTTGTTCCTTTTAAAACAGCGACCATGCGAATACTCTCTTGTCAAGGAACCAAGAATTACAGTAATAACAGCCTTTTCCCCTGCTTTAATTGCATTATAAGCATCCATGACATAATTCAAATGTTTAAGCAGTGATTCACCATTTCTCATTTCTGCATTTATTAATCTTTAATAGAGGAACAAGTAATTAGCCTCATTTTTTGAAGCATAAGTTTGCTCAAGCTTCAACATCATTTGTTTCGTGGATGTGCACTCTAAAAGTTCCTGATTATCTGTAGCATTAATAGTGCCCATAATTAAAGACATTCCAAAACCATCATGCCCTCTGTACTTTTCGAGAGCGGCTCCTGCTTCAGGAGGATCGTCAGTGAGCACAGAAAGAGCCCCATGAGCTTGAAGGGCATTCTTTACTGATCTCTTCCACCAAGATAAATTAGTTGAGTCGAAGGTGGGCATATTGAAAAAAGCAAGATTCTTAGCTGCAGACATAATGATTTCTCCTTTCATACGTTACCAAAACTTGAGAGTGGTGAGGGCAACGGGCGATCTTTTGTGAGCGCAGGATTAGGCTTTTCAGCAGTGCTGGCAAGGATCGATCTCACCCCCTTTTCCTTTTTTCTTTCACTTGGCATGGAAGAAGACAAACTCAGATCAAACACTACAAGGCTTCTCCGACTTGGAAACACAGCCGGTTGGTCTTGTCCCACAAGTTCATGAAGAAAACAGGATGTTGTCTGAATCTCATAAATCCAAAGCGAGTTAAAAAGAACAATTCTCTGTTAGAAAACTCCAGCACACATGATTTCTCTTGACTCAGTCTGGCTGCTGCCCTCTGCTTAGCTATCTGTCGCAGCTGAAGCAATCTGGGCACCCATAACCTTTGTTGGGTGATAGTGAGATATTGAAAGAATGGTATTTAGCAGAGATAAGATAGTCCAGCAGAGCTAAAGTAAAATAATTCAGACTCAGAATCCATGTGTGATTAAAATATAAACTTTTTACTAAATTCTAGCATGGGAAGGGTAACTGGGATGAAAATAACAACAGAGCTAAATCGGCTACATCCTTACTCTACAAAGACAAAACTAGAAGAGAGAGATTATGGCTGCTCTTCTTCTTCAGAACACCAAAACAAAGACGGGAAGAGAAGCCATAAAATGGTAATACACCTTGACACTTTAGTCCCAATCAAATTCCTAGATCAGGGAGAAAATTCCCGGGTTTTCTACAGCTAAAGAACATTGGTTACATGAAAAACATGTGACCTCCTGTGAATAACATAAACAAATATTTAACCCCAGGTATACTGAGTGTTTTCAACTTGTAATACCCAACAACCTGGCACCCCGGAAGGGGGTGGGAGACATCCCTACCACTAGCACCACGAATCCTAAAACAAGCCCTTTCCTCCCCCCAGAATTGGTACTGGTACTCCTGCCAACCTAGCAGTTCGAAAGCAAGAAATTGCAAGTAGATAAATAGGTACCACTTCAGTGGGGAGGTAACAGCATTCCGTGGTGTTTAGTCATGCCAGCCACATGACCATGGAAATGTCTTCGGACAACGCTGGCTCTTTGGCTTTGAAACGGAGATGAGCACCGCAACCCTAGAGTCGGATTCGACTGGCTTTCGAGCAAGGGAACCTTTACCTTTTACCTTTACTTTTATTCAATGGGATGAGGCAGCTTGTAGAACTGCTAGATGAAGAAGTCAAATGCAAAGACCTTCCCTTGGAACTTCTCACTCTCTTTGTGTTTGTGTGTTTTATTGAATAATTTATTGAAATAAAGAGCAAGCCATTCTATTGTTCTATGAGGCTTTCTGGGATCATTTTTATTGCTTATTATACGACTGAGTACTATTTTCAGTCTGTGCTTGTTTGGATTTTTGTTTGCTTGTTTGTCTGTAAGTAAGCCGTTTGGGGCTCAAAGAGGAAAGGCAGTTTTGAGTGAATGAAGCCTGTTCAACTGATGTCAATCAAATCAATCCCGAGGGAGACCAATTGGGGTGAGGAGGTTTGCTGGCCCTCTGGTCCCATTTTGGTGCAGATTCACTTCCCTTTCCTGGACTTCAGACACTGCCTCAACTAGACAGTTATTTATTTATGTATTTCAATGTTTATCCCACACCTCCCCCAGCAATACAGCTGGGGACGGTTAGCAACAAATACAAAACATAAATAAAAATGCAAATATTCTATGAAACCGTTTATTACACTGTCACTCTAGTGTGAGGATCAGAGAAGCTAATAGTGGGCCCAGTAAGATTGCCTCAATGGAGTGCTTGGAGGAGCCTGGACAAATCCCTCAGGAGGCACCAGCCTCTTCAGAGGGACCCTTCCACCACAAGACGGATAAAGCCCCTATTCCCCTGGAGGTCAGAAGAGCTCCCTGAGGGCCAGGCGCCTCCAGGAGCAGGCCTGGAGGTGGATGGAAGGGGAAGGAGTACAGTCATGTTGGAGGGGGGGAGTAATCTTGGGAGTAGTAATCTTGGGAGATTTTCGCCTGCCACCTAGACCTGGTGGAGAAGTTCAGCATCCGCTGGGTCTCTGTCTCTTGAACGTGACAAGCCACATCAAGCCAAGGGCATTTCTCCGCTTGCTTTCATATCTGATCATGACCAACTAACCTGTACTCTGCAAAAGTTACAGAGGCATGGGGGTGGGAGTAGTTTTCTAAGTGGGATTTTCTCCAACAGTTTCTCCCAAGGTTTGGACCAGGTGATCGCTTTGGACATACCAGGCCTTCCACTCTGGACAGACGAGCAGAATCTTGGGAGCAAGATATTAATACTCTGCCCCAACAGAGAGATCTCCTCCAATTTATGATTTCTTTGCATTCATTCCACATGAAGAACAATTCTGCGGGAACTGAATGCTCAGTTTCATCTTGGTTGCTTATTCCAGTCCTATAGTAATTAGCCTCCGTGGCTGACTCAGTGGTTCTGTTTCCCAGGAGGCTTCAAGACTCTGCTAAATTCTGTGGCCTTTGGGTGCAGTTAATCCTGTACATGACTTTCGCCTCACATGACTTTTGCCTTCTGGGAATGTTTATACAAATTGCAGAAGTCAGGAGTCAGTATCAAATTCTAAATAGAGTATCTGTAACTAGCTCTCTGAGTCAACTCAGCTTAACCCAGCTTTCCTTGACCTTCCAAACCCCAGAGATAGAAAGAATGGGCTGACTTTGTTCTGTATGTCAGAGATGTAGGTCAAATGCTCCTCACAGACTTGATTGATAGTTAGCTCCTATGGTTGGAAAAGGATACTTAATGTCCGAATTTAGTTTTGCTCCTTGTTCTGGCCAACCACTCTTTTCTTATGGGTTTTGGCAGAGCAACCAAGGACCTTTATAGGACTTCAAGTGCACTATTTATGTATTGGGGTTGTATTGAACTATTCTGTGTGGAATATTGAAATGCTTCAAAAGTGTTTTCTGACTTAAAAGTGTGTAATAGAATAAATTGAATTTGGTTAGAACAACTGTCTCTCTCACACTCTCTTGATGCAATTGGGAAGCCAGCTTCTGTCTCTTCTCAAAATGAACACTGTGGGAATGAGAGTGCATGAAAAAGTTCCTGCACCCTTGCAAGGCAGCCTTGGGGGGCTCGGTGGGTACCTCTCCTTCCCAACAAGTCTTTCCTCGGAATGAGGAGTAATCTAGGGAAACGCCCCCCCTCCCCTTGCCTGGCTCCGGAGAGGGAGTTTCGTCCGCGGTCTCCTCTGGCCCCCTCCCAGTCCCGACCC